AGCGTGCATACCCCGTCAGGAGTGTATATAACCCATGGAGCGGGTGCATAACCTGTCGGGTGCATGCATAACCCATGGGGTGGGTGCATAACCCATCAGGGTGCATCCATAACCCATGGCGTGCATGCATGACTCATCGGGAGCGTGCATAACCCATCAGGGTGGGTGCGTAACCCGTCGGGGTGCGTGCATAACCTGTGAGGTGCGTGTGTAACTCGTTGGGGTGCGTGCACACCGAGGCCAAAGGCTGTGAGGTGTAAAGGGGCTTCTTACCACGGGTAAGGCAGGTAAAACTACACCGAGAAGCACCGCGCTGCAAACTGGCACCCCCCAGACCACTCCAGCAACTCCCCTGGCAGCCCCGTGGCCGAGGGACGGCGAGCAGGGGTGGCAGCAAGGAACAACGTTTTTCTCGGGTCAGAAAACCCCTCGGAATGAGCCGCCGCTCCGGGTCGCTTGAAACGTAAATGACTCGAGGAGATCTGAGATGAGCAAAGGGGCTTTTTCACGGCATAAACAGGAACATGCACCATCTGCAGAGGTGTTAATTAATATCCAACCACCCCCCTCCGCAGTAAATTCATCTCCAGAAGGTGTGATTTGCCTGAGAACATGTGCAAACATGGGTCCGGACCCCTTGCGCGTTAGGCAAGTGCCCAAAAGCCCTTGCAGGAGACGAGGGTGGCGGCATCCTTGCAAACGAGCTTGTAATGAGTCCGGGAAGACACGGAGCTGTCAAGCTGTTAGCTGGCTCCCATCACAGGCGTCTTGGGGGTCGCGCTCGAGACCTGATTAGTATGGCCACTGCCACGCTGCAGCAAGGGATGGGGAGGGAGAAAATTACTTTTTGCAGCAGTGCAGGGCTCTAAAAAAAAAAAAATACAGAAGCGGGAGAGGGAGGGAAAATCCTCTGAGTCTCTGTTCTGGCTCTGTACAGACATCTGGCAGCAGCGGGGGAAGCAGGCAGCCGGCAGCAGCCAGCCTGTACACACAGCCGGGGGCTCGGATGAGATGATGGTAATTGCAAAAAAGTGTTTTGCAGATTTTTGGTGGCAGGCGAGGGCCGGGCATGATTCCCCGGCGGAGAGCAGTGCTCCCACGCTCACTGTCCCTCTGCCCGGCGGTGACCAGGGGTTTGGCCTCAGGATGTACAGCAGCGAGCGCTGGGGATGGAGGGGAGCCCTCGGGTCCGGGGGGAGTTGCTCTGCCTCTATTAATTAGAGTTTGGTGCTCGGTCTAATTAGCAAGAAGGAGAATAACTCAGAGTTGGGGTTGGCGTTGCTGTCTGCAGCACCCGTGCGTGGGCATTGTTCTCGATAGCACCTATGGTGCATGGGCATTTCTCTCCGTAGCACCCGTGGTGCACAGGTGTTTGTAGCACCCATGGCGCGTGGGCATTGCTCTCCGTAGCACCCATGCATGAGCGTTTCTCTCCGTAGCACCCATTAATGTGGCCTTTGCAGGCGAGGGGATGTACACCGTGACCCCGTGGGTCCCCCTCATCCCATCTGCAAGCTGTTCTCCCCATCCTTCATGCAACAGCTCTTGTTTTTAAGCTCCCTGGCTCGGTGCATGGGGATTGCAAAGCGTTTTGCCCCATCGAGGGGCTGGTCGGGCTGGTCCCTGCTCAGCACAGGCCCCAGGGCTCCGAAACCCGTGGCCGTGGCAAGCGGGGGACGATGCATTACAGATGTTGGCGGCGCCGCTTGGAGCCACCTGATCGATGGTGACAAAGCATGGTCCCCGCGGGGGCTTCCTCTGCCACTACCTATTAGGAGAAATGAGATGTTACAGCCCCAGCCGGCGGCTCCTGCGGTGGCTCCGAGCGGGAAATGTTGCTGGTGACAGTGATAAAGTCACTGCTTGCAGCAGCACCGACTCCAGGGGAGGGGGAAGACGGGGTAGAGGAGCCAAGCGAAGGGCACCCGACGTGCTGAGGCTGTTGCAAGCCCTTCCTATGCAGGGCAATGCTGCTGGAAAATCCCAGCGCAAAAATAATTTGAAAATGTAGGGGTGCTGGTTTGGGGATGCTCGGGAGGAGCCGGGCTGGAGGCAGCCACCACCCAGCTGCACCGGGATGCTGCTTTTTACCTCTCGCTCCTGGAAAGCATCTCCCGCCTCGCCTCTTCCAGCAGCAGAAATTCACAGCCCCCTTCCAAATTTTCAAGCCAACCCAATTCATGCGGGTTGTGCCTCCGATTCATAAACCTGCTCCCCTTTAGGCAAAAACTCTCGAGTTTTACAGCTGTGAAGAAATTGTCTAAAATCTGAGCAAAGCCACTGATGGAGAGATCTTGGGCCAGTAACTGCGAGAGGTCTGACTCGTGCCATTCATCTACACGCCGGCTGGGTCGTCTCGGCACCTCCGAGATGATAATTTAAATGTCAGCATGGGGAACTCTTTTAATTCCTCATGCTCAGGCAGGGAGAGAAGGTCATAAGCATCAGCACAGTTTATTGAGCTCTCTGTTCCCGCTGGGCGAGGGCATCGCTCCGGCTCCGGGGAGGCAGCGGGGAGCCCGGGCTGCGCCTCGCAAAATTGCGCAACCCTCTTGCAATATCGATTTGAGCGTGCATGCGGTTTAGCGATGCTGGAGGGCGGGTACTGGCATGGGTGCTGCCCTTTGGGGGATGGAGGTGGGTTGCGGTGCTCATTCTGGGATCAAACCATCCGGGTTTGGGCAAATAAATCAACCACTGTATTTTTGGAAGCCAAATTTGCCGCTGGCAGCGTTTTGGGTGGTTCTGAGCAACATAGGACTGAGTGGTCCAGCAAGCTCAGGGTGGGAGGAGGAATATCAGCCAGCTGAGCTAAATGCAGATGCTTGAGTGAGCTGGGGAGGGAAGCAGAAAACAAAGCTAAAAAAGAGGTTTTCCAGAGTGATGAGTTTCTCCCAGCAGCTGCAACATGGGATGCTGCAAACCCCAGTGCTACCCCCCAAGCGCGCTAAGCATTGCAGTCGCCCCTTGCAGCCCCTTTAGGGTATTTTCCCTCTTGCCATAGCCAATGCTTGTTGCATTTGCTTGGGGAAAGGGTGTAAATTCAGCCCCAGGACGAGGATGGTTGAAGGAGTCCAGACCAGAGCCCAGCGATGCCCCGTGCCCCAGGGTGCTACGGAGACCTCCTGTCCTTTCACAACCCGCTTTGTTCTCCAAAATCCCTCCCCCACCCCATCCCCTTGGTCCCCCATCCATCACTCCCGGATGCTTATCTAACCCGCCGAGTATCCTGGCGAGAGGCTCTGGCAATATTAATGGTGCCAGCGTATTTTGGGGATGGCAAACTGCCGGGTCGCCGGCGAGGTGAGAGCGACGGGGGGAGAGGCAGGAGGGGGCTGCCTCTGCGACAGCGGGAAGGAGCAGGAGGTTAATGTCTCCCCGCGCAGTGGCAATCACCGGGTTTTTGTCAGGAATAAGATTTTTACTGGGGTTTATAAATAATGCAGCAGGCAGCCTCGGGCTGCCTGAGCTCAGCTCCGGTGCCTTAAATGTGCCTTTTCCTCTCCCCGTGCCCCTTTTCCTCCCACTCCTCAGCATGGGCACATAATCTGGGGCAATCGCCGTCGGATGCTGCCGAATTATCATCCTTTTTCTCCCCAGCAAGAAGCGTTGGGCTTGGCCGCTCCTGCACCCCCGTGGGTTCACCAGCAATTTTATATGTAGCTCCTCTCCAAAAAAATTGACCCCAGGGCACAGATAAAAGGCTGAAAGTAGGTCTAATCCCTGGAGAGAGTCTCTTTTCTATGCGCCTTTTCATAGGAGCCTATTAACTGCCTGTAATCCCCCGAGGATGCGACCGAGCTGCGGCATCTTCCCTTGCTGTGCATCCTCGGGGGGGTGCGAGGGGTCCCAGGGGGCGAGCGGCGGCATGAGCGATGCTTCGGGCTGCATTTTTCCACTCCCATCCTTGGCTCCAGCTTGATGTTTTCCCGCCTTGCCCACATCTGTCCAGATGTGCTGGGTAACCTGTGGCCGCAAACTCCTGGTCCATGGGCATCGCCTCCACCGCTCCCCTTCCCCTGAGCATCCCTCCTTGCAGCAACCGCTCTGTTGCGTCCCCAAAATAATCTCTAGAAAACCCTTTGAGACGACAGATGAAGAGCTTCTCGATCCGGGAGCAGCTCCAAGGTTTCTCGCCGAACCCACCCCAGGGCGTAAATAAACGTCGGGAAAAATCAGACGCGTCCTTGAAAACTTCCCCTTGTTCCCAAGGCCGGAGATTTACAGCTCCGATAATTCTTCTTGCAGTTCTTTATCCCGTGTCCGTGCCAGCGTGTATTTTCTTTGCAATAAAAGCCTCAGCCTCAGCGAATAAATTTGAGGAGGTGGTTTGAGTGACAGCTTCCCCTCCCCCCCCTTCCTTTTTGTGATAAAAAAAGGGGGGAAAGAGAAAATTTGGCATCAAAGTTGAGTTTTGCCCAAGCAGGGAGGGAAGTGCTGGGTGGGGAGAGCGGGGTCTCCTCCCGAGAGATGCTGGTTTTGCTGGGTTAGTCCCCAAAATCCCCTTCTCTCATGCCTGGCCTCTTAAAAAAGGACTATTCTAACCCTCTGATGGATTGATCTGAGCTGTTCTAGTCCCAAAATGCCCATCTCCCATCTGCATTGCTTCCCTCTGCCTTTTCCTCCTTAATTTTGTACTAAACCTTGCTCCTTGCAAGACGGTGAGATAAATCTGAAGGCATTGGGGGACACGGGGAAGAATGAGTCCCCCCGGTCCTAAAAAGAGCCTTTTTCCACTTAAAAATTACAACCCCAGCGAGCGGCTGGAGGTAGGAGTTGGCGATGCGATAACAGGACAGAAACGCGTGGGTTTTGCTTTTAATCTCAGCAGCCTCATAATAAATAAATACTATTTACTGAATCTTAATAAAAATATTTTAAATGAAAATATTAAAAGTAAAAATATTGAAAATAAATATCTTTTAAAAAATTAAAAAGCGGCCGCAAAGCTGCTCGTGCATTTGCAAAAGTGACCACGGGCGTCTCATATATGGGGGGTTTTTTTTTGCAGGTCACCGATGGTGGCACCATCAAGCAGAAGATCTTCACCTTCGATGCCATGTTCTCCACCAACTTCTCGCACATGGAGAATTATCGGAAGACGCCGGAAGAGGGAGGATCTGGTCTACCAGTCCACCGTGCGGTAAGTCACCCCAATGTCACCTCCTTTGACACGTCGGCTGCTTTTTAATGCCTATTTTTAGGCGTTTGTCCCCATTTTGGGGCAGTTGAGGGTCTCCTGGCAACACTCTATGCGTCCTCTTTGGCTGTCGGTGGGGTTTCGTTGCGTTGCAGAGAAATTATCGTCCCTTAATGCGCCGTCACCAAATATCTGAGGTCTGTCCCTATGGTCCTGCTTGTCCCTCAGGAAAAGGTGACATCGGTGAAGATTTCCAGGGGTGAAAATGGGCAGAGAAAAGCAAGGCTTGGGAAAAATAAAATAAAATAAAAATATATATAAAACAGGCAGCACGGAAGCTTGTCTTTGCTTTTCTTCCAAGTGCGAAATCACTCGCAGGAGTGTCAGCTTTATTACTAATTACACACTTGCTTTATTGCCGCTGTTATAAAAACAAAACTGGAGCCTGAAAAAAATGTCAGGGGGAGACCTATTTCAAGGCAAAAAGGCTGGAGTGATGTATTTATTTTTCACGATTTTTTTTTCTTTGTTTCCTTTTTAAATTAGAATTTGCTGATCGGATTTCAAAGCTGTTTTTCCCCGGTGTAGGGTAATAAAAATTCTGTGTATGGTGGGGAAAATGTAGTCACCTCGAGGTGATGTGATGCTTTGCATCTGCAAATGTCCGTGTACAGGTTGGAAAGGGCTCAGCATGGCTCGTCCCGTCACACGAGCTTGTGTGCAAGCATGAAATTATTTCTAATTCTTTGGAATTTGAATTTTTTTTTTGGGGGGGGTGGTTGCTGTTTTTTCTGCTACACTCAGAGCTAGGTTTTGTTATAAGCAAGAGCCAGTGTGTCAGATGGCTGCATGGGAATAAATGTGAATATGGAGTGGAGAAGAAGCAGGAAAGCAGAGCTGAAGAGGAGATGATCTGGGTTGCTCAGGAGATGCTCAGCGGATGCTAAAGGGTTGCTCAGGAGGATCCGCAGAGCTTGCTCAGGGGCGGCTCAGGGGTTGCTCAGGGGAATGCTCCGAAGATGGTCAGGGGGGTCAGGAGATGCTCGGGATGCTCCGGAGATGCTGGGAATGCTCAGGGGTCGCTCAGGACGCTCAGGGGTTGCTCAGGAGGATGCTTAGGGCATGCTCAGAGGATGCTCAGGGGTTGCTCAGGGAGATGCTCAGGGGATGTTCAGAAGATGCTCAGAGGATGCTCAGGAGGGTCAGGAGATGCTCAGGGGTTGCTCAGAGGATGCTCAGATGATGCTCAGGAAGGTCAGGAGATGCTCAGGATGCGCAGGGGATGCTCAGGCAACGATCAGAGGTTGCTCAGGGGGATGTTCAGGAGATGCTCAGGGGCTGCTCCGCTCCTCAAGTTTTGCTTCCCCATGTAGCACGGGCTCCGCTTAGGCCCTCGTCGGTTGTTGTACAAATTTCTGACACAACTAATTATTGTTTGGAGGACGTTTTGGCAACTTCACAAACAGATTACACATTCCCTAACTCAACAGCCTCGCTTTGCTGCCATAAACCCAGCGGTTTCACTCGGTGCTGGATTTGGCCATTGCTCTCCTGTAGCAGGGAGCACCGGGGGCGAGACATCCCAACCACGAGCATCCCTTGAGCAAGGGACAAGGACATTGCACTGTCCCGGCGAGGCAAAGCAGATGCTTTTTTTTTTGCTCAGAAACCTCCATTTTTCTCCCTTTCACCGCGTATTGTAGAGCTAATAGAATTTGCAAGCAGAAAATTTCGCCGCCCTAGGACCAAGCACTTAAAAGCATCGGTAATCGTCAGCACAGCGCCGGCAAATCATCCGTGGAGCTGGGGATGTTCGCGGTAAAAGTCTTTTCACGCGGTTGTTTTCAGGGGAAAACAGCAACATGCCTGGGGAGAAAGGAGATATTTCTCGGAGAGTATGAAAAGAGCTTGTTATCTGAATCGTTGGCTTGATGCTTTTTGGGGGGGTCCTGCCTTATTTTGGCCTCTGGTGAAGAAGAGGAGCAATATTGGGAAGGGTTTGGTGATGGGTCAGTCGCTTTCCAGCTGTTTCCACTCAGGTTTTTCTCTCCCTTTCATTTTACCCTTCTGTATTTTCAGCTTTTTTTAATCTTTTTAATGGCACGGTCACGTCGGTGCCGTCCCACGGAGCGTTATCCCGGGCGGCATGGCTCTTATCTGCGCAGCGCAGAGGGCTGCCGGGGCTGCCTCTTTTCATACTGCCTTTGAACGCTGCCTGCTCAGATGTGAAGAGCAAAGCCGGGAGATATCCAACCCTGGATTTTTTTTCCCCTCCTCTGATTAAAAAACCCACCCTCGTCAAGTAAAGCACTGCTTTATGAATATCTATATAATTTTTTCTTTATTTCCAGCATGCTTAGAGGACGCAAAGGACACGAGGGGCAGTGTTTTGTCTTTGCAGGGCTGGGGGTCCTCTCTCTCCAGCCCCTGCCGATCGCAGAAGCCTCAAACCGACCCAATTAGGACCATTCTACACCCAAATCCATGCACAAACCCAAAGGCCTTGTCCCTCGCAGCGAGGGGCAGCCGCCAGGATGGAGAGGGTCCCCCGCTTGGTGGGGACCAAAACCGCCGGCACCGCTCCCGTGTGCCGCTGACGACGGGTGTGGATGATTTCCCGCTCCGTGCGTGGGTAATTAGAGGCTGGAACAGATGGCGGAGGCTTAGTTGAAAGCGTCGTGGCCATTAAAAGGAGCTGCCAAGCAACTGTTTGCTTCGACAGGGCTTGTTTGCGCTAGCAGGGGCTCACACGGCGAGGAGGAGGCACGGGAAGGGAGCTAGGGGCTTTCGGAAAGGATCCGGCAAGCCAGCGCCGTGTTTCCCCCCTGGCCGGGGAAGTCCGGCGAGGCGCACGCCTGGGTTTGTCCGGAAAAGTGGGGGATTTTTAAGCTGGAGGTGGCTTGCTGGGTGCTCCGTGCAGGAATTGCCCCCATCCTTATTGCTGTGGTGGGATGCTGCCGTCTGGCGAGGCGGGATGATGCTGCTGGTGCGATGGGATGACGCTGCCAGCCGGTAAGGTGGGATGATGTTGTCGGTGAGGTGGGATGATGCTGTCGACCGGCAAAGCGGCTCCTTTGCAGCCGGTGCGAGTGTTTCCACCTCCAGCAGCACCGATCCTTTTGCACATCTCTTCCTCTCCTGTTTTTTATATATATAGAAAGAATCTAGATAATAGATCGATTGAAGCGTGCTCTGGGTTTGCTTAGGTTTGGGCTTTTGATGCTTTTTATCCGCCACGCTTTGCTACAGCCGTTGCATCGCCCAAGCGGTCTGTAACGTCCGGTGCCGAGCCTTTAACATCGGCATTTCGCAGGCGTTTAACGTCCACGCTTCGCGGGTTTTTGCTCTCGGCGGTGCCTTTACCTCCCGTACGCTTCTCCTTTCAATAATGCAATTACTTACCCTCCCGAGGAGCTGTCAGTGCCAGTAAACTCCAGCTGCTAAACCGCATTACACAGCTCTTTCCTGCAGCCTTTGCAGTTATTAATAGTTTATTGATCCCCATCACCGGCGAAAAGCAACCCCATCCGACGCCTTGACATCCGGATGCCGACCGCTGCATCCCCCAGGAAAATGGGGTCAGGATGGAGAGGGGAGCAAGTGGCGAGCTCTGTCTCTTCCTCCCCAGCCTCCCCGAGGTTCGCATTTCGGACAACGGTCCCTACGAGTGTCACGTGGGGATTTATGACCGAGCCACGCGGGAGAAAGTGGTCCTGGCCTCTGGGAACATATTCCTCAACGTGATGGGTGAGTGCAGCCCCCGGCTGGGTGGGACCAGAGGGGAAAGGGCTGCGGGGGTCTCAGGGTGGGGGGGACAGCAGGGATCTGGCTCATTTTCCCATCCCCAGGGATGAAGACGGGGACGGGGACAGGGATGGGGATGGAAACGAGGACGGGGATGGGGACGAGGCTGGGCGTGGGGATGGGGATGAGGATGGGGATGGAGATGGGTGGGTGTCGAGGACGCCGTGCTA